AAAAAAAACTTGAATTGTTTAGAAGTAAACATGCATGTCCGTACAGTCTTAGCATCTGATTAGACAGGCAAAGAATTGGCCAATGCAGAGAAAGGTACATTTGCACGTTAATTTGTTTAATATGATATGACAGAGTAGTAAGGTTTTGCATTTTAAGCAAAAGCATCATGATTACTTGTAATTATTGAAATAAAAGTTGGGAGACCGCTTGACTTCCAAGACATTTAAAGGTAGGATTAGTTTAGTGTTTAATTTCCGCCAATGGGTTCTCCTCGGTCGGTCGGTCGTAATATAATATTCCGGTTATCATGTAGCCGAAAAGGATCCTTGTCTTCTTCAATTAGCTCTCTCTGGTTTTGTTTTTCTTTTCTTTTAAATTCTATTTTCATGGTGGATGTTTGCATAAACATCCCTTGTTCTATTGGAAAAGTGAACCCTACTCCTTACCTTTTATAGAATGGACGGTTGTTTTATTTCGATGCAGTGGATAAATAGAGATGGGCTAGTTAATCATTGATTTTTTGCATGACAGGTGAAGTTTTGCATTTCAAAATGAAGACTTAAAAGTTAAGAAATTAAATAAAATAGTGGATTCAATAGTCTTTAGCTTATGATTAAACTTGAAGATTCGTATATGAAAAAAACCATGAAATTTAATTTTTAATTAATTAAATATTAAATGATAAAATTAAAAAAATAATTTTAATTATATAAGAGAATTAAACAAATAGTAATTAAAAGAATGAAAATCAAAACTACAATATAAAATAAAATTTAAAAGAATAAAAATCAAAACTACAATATAAAATAAAATCTATATTAATTGAAGGGTGAAATCAAAACGAAAAATCAATTTAGCTAAAGAATCTAAAAAAATTAAAAGAACAAGAATCAAAATTAACATAAAAAACAAAGAAAAAATTGAATGAAGAGTGAAATTGAGAAAAATAATAACTTTTATAAAAGAGTCAAGAAAAAAAATAAGGACTAAATTAAAAAACATAACATCATCAATTTGGATTGAAAGATGAAATTAAAAATCAACAAATTTTTTATAAAAAGGCCAAAAAAAAACAAAATCAAAATAAGGAGGACCAAATTGAAAAATATAATATTTGATAAAATATGATTGAAGAATGAAATTGAAAGCAAATAAAACTTATACAAAAAAGCCAAAAACAAAAATTAACAATACAAAAATAAGGATCATAATTGAAATATCAATAATAAAGATAGTCAAATTGTAATTTGTAAGGTAATAGAGAGAGAAAAAAAAAAAAGCACGCCGGTGATAAATTGGACCACCAAAACTAATATGCACCATTCTACATAGAAAAGGAAATGAAGAAAAGCATAATTGTCTAAAATGATCAATCTTTGTTATTGTTAATAATCAATCATTTATTCTTAAAGCTTTATTGTTACTTACTTGATGCAAGCAATATGACTTTCTTCAATAAATCTTTCAAGATTTCAACAAAGATTCAACAAACCAATGAAATGTTGTCCAATAATCCTTCTATAAGGATTGAACCTAAGTTCTAGATTAAAAGAAATTTTAAAAAAAATAATGAAGTTTAAAACCATAACATAATGCTAGAAAATAAGATGAAGAGTGTTAAATTCTATCAAAAAAAATATAGATTTAACCAAGCTAAAACACTTTATAGAGAATTTTAGGAACCAAAGACTAACGAACTTCTCCCACTAATAGTTTTGATTACCCACAATAAACAATAATTAAACATGAATGTTTTTTTTATTTAAATCATGTGACGTTTGAGCTAAAAAATATGCTTATGTAAGCTTGAAAGAGTTAAGAAAAAACTGATCATATTTCTCATTTCATGGACCAGAAAAAATATAAATAATTCTTCATGTATCAAGCTTAAGTTTAAATTTTAGTTGGGAAAAAATAATATTTTACAACTGAAAGGATTATTTTACAATGAACCTGAGTCTAGACACTAATAAGTATGCGTATGGATTTAAGTTCAAATTCACTTTACTTATGACCTCTCTCTACTAAAATTGAATGCCAATTGAGCCAAATTTAAATTCTCCAACATCTCACCTTATACATGTTAAGAAAATTGTTTCTTTACTACGTGGGATAGAAGCTTTTAAAGAGTTTTGGATTTTATTAAAATATACTAACTAAGAGTTTTTTTAGATTAATTTATCATTCAGTCATAATTTATATAATTATGTTAATGTTTATATTAAAGAGTTTATATTGAAAATTAAATTTTAACAAAATTCTAACCTAAAAAATAAATATAGATCTTTGGCTTCAAATATTCCTGGTAAGCATGTTCTTAAACAAAATTTATAACATAATTATATAAAAACTATGAACCAAGTAAGTATTTTTAATTACCAGAAAAACTGTAAACATATAAAAATATGGTTTCAAGAGAACAATCTCAAACAACATGAAGCTGTTGATATCAAGAAATGTGCGAGCATTGTGTTAACGAGATTTTACAATTTAGATGATCCTTTGTTTTTACATTTTTATGAATAATTTTCTTTTTTACATTACAAGATGGAACATATATATATATATATATATATATATATATATATATATGCGCGCGCGCGCCTTTTTGTTGTGGGAGCGTGGTAGTAGATTTAGAATTCAATATCTGCACACCATAAGTGTTCATCATAGTTTAAATTTTGTATTTTATCAATATAATTTATTGGTTTTTGCATTATTAAAAATAATTAAAAAGTCTTCGGCTAGGAGCGAATCTTCTCGATTTAGTGTTTTTTTCCTCCAAATATATCCTTTCTTTTTCTAATCAAAGTTTTCTATCTTGCTGACTTTTCTTTTCTTTTTCTATCTTCTTAAATAAAAAAAAAGGGATTGATTCAAGGAATAAATTACACAGTTTCTTAAACTGCAAGACCTAATTAATTAATTTTACCCAACTATAAGTACCAACTCATGATTTATTCCACCGAGAATAGCTGAGATGGACCGGTTATCAAAAATGGAAAAAGAAAAATTAAATTTTAATTTTTATACATTTGAGAATAAAAATTTTATCTTTTAAATTTTAATTTTTGGATGGAAGTCCATCGAGTGATTGTTTTGCAAAAACTAAGTAAATCTATTCACTTACTCTCCTAAACCCATCTAAAAAAATACATACTTGTATAAGTATGTGGTTCTCAAACATATTTAAAAATTTAAAAAAACAAATTAAAATTAATTTTTTATAAAAAAATAAAATAACTCAAAAAATAAAAATTAACATTCAAAATAGACTCACATCTTGTCATTAAAAAGTCTCAACAACCAACAATCAAAATATCAACCAAGAATCTTGAAGGAAAAGATTTGAGGAAAGGATCAACTGTGATAGAGATGGCAATTTTGGATTGTATATGAGTAAAGAAATTTGTCATAGTCGCGAAATCAAATAGGTGGTCATATTTATTTTATTTTGGGTATTTTCTTTTAATTAATTTAACATAAATGGATATAAATATTATTCACATGATATATTTCAGATATAAAGAAACACAAAGTCTAAAAAGTATCAATGACAGTCTGCAGTGTAGTCTTATACATATAGGCAACAACAGCTCATGGGTGGCAGGCAGAGAATTATATAATTGTTGAAACCTCCTTCACTTTTACCCTATGATTTTGAAAAAAAATAAATTGATTGAGGGACCTACATAAATAAAATAAAAACTACAGTACCTAAGTTGCGGATGATCAAGAGTTAGTGGCTGTATAGGGACAAATTAGCCCGCCCTTAAATTCAGTGCGTAGCTTTGAATTCTACAGGTACTCCACACACTCGGACTAGGTTTTGACCCTAAGATATCAACTCATTATAAAATAAGAAGGTGTACATGTTTGTTTTTTTTTATTTTAAAAGTTTTTTTTGAAAAAAATGTTTTTTGAAAATTAATTTTTTTATTATTATATAATGTTAATGTATTATGTAAAAATTACTTTTAAAAAATAAATAATTTATTATTTTAATTTATTTAAAAAAATAACAATTATTGTATTTTTAAAGATACAAAAGCACAAAGTAGAACCGGAAAAGGTAAAGGAATCCCTACTTATAAAATACGATAGCGTGCCTAGCATCTTTTGTTTAGTCGCTAATTTGGAAGGAAAGCCTAATGTTTTCTCTCTAATCCAGGCAATTAGCATCTAGAATCCCACTAGTAATTTTTTTTCGAAGTCAAATAGTTTTTAAGGTACATCAGACATATTTTATGTTCTTTCTTTATTTGTTTTTGGGAGAGGAATGGGAATTTTGGAATACTTTAAATTTTGGTACTGTGATGAGTGTATTTTTAAAAAATATTTTTTATTTAAAAATATATTAAAATATTTTTTTTTTAATTTTTGATATTAATATATTAAAATCATTAAAAACACTAAAAAAAAATATCAATTTAATAAATTTTTGAAGATTTTTTTAAACACATTATAAAAGAGAAGCTATTATATTATCAAACACTTCATTACTTACTATTGACAGAAATGCCTCTATAAAAACACTATTGTCAATTCTATTGATAAATTTATTTCTTTAACATGAAGAATTCGATATCAAAGACCTTAGGTTATAGACAAACCGAAAATAGTCACCGAATTAACCGATTTACATGACTATTGATTGAAAACTCGAGAACTCAAAAAAAAATTATTACACAGGTAAGGTTTATTATTAACATACTCACATAAATTATATAAGAAATGTCATAAAAATAATTATGGGACCCATTATTTTATAAATTTGGATCAATAGTGAGTTGATCATATGTAATATTTTTTTCATTAACTCGATGATTTATAAAAAAAATAAAAGAATATTATTTTTGTAATATTAAAAAAGGAATTTAAACGATAGTTAGTCAAGTTATTTCCATTTTTTAACTAATGTGGGATGTCTCTTTTTAAAATAAAAAACAAAAGAAAAGAAAAGATCTCTGGTGGTGCTGCCCTTTCCACTTCCTTCTATAAATTTATGCCTTCCCCCTTTCATTTCACTTATCCGATTACTCCCAAGTCCTAGTTGCTTCTTTCTCTCTTGCTGCACAAGTCCCTAAGATAAACTGCAATCCTACCAAAACCGAACAACAGGTTCTGTTTGAAAACATCTCTTTCATCTCAATCTCACTGCCTTGATCCCATAACCTCCAAACTCCTACAATTTCAGTAAAAAAGAAGCCTCCCCTGTTCCTCCCCTGTTTAGGCTCGTTGATTCCCTCTGTTTTCGACCTTCCACATTTCAGTTGTGAAAAATGTCCTCCTCAAGTTATTGTCCAGGCCTCCAATCATGCCTAGAACCGATCTACCTCGTCGAACCTCGTGTTTTGAGGCTCAAATTGGCTCCATCCAAATCCAACATTTCTCTTCCTTCAATAATTTGCAAGCCCTTTGTCACTAACTCAGACCGTGACTTGGAAAGCAACAAAAATGCTGACACGGGTGGCTGGAGTTTCCTCCAGTCTATTGCTAACAATACCTCTCAAAACACCACAGAAGAGAATGACAAAGTCTATGTCCCTCCAAATTTTAAGAGCTCTTCTTCTATGCTCAGCGAAAAGAGCTTAGAAATGTGCACCGAGGGCCTGGGGAGTGAAACTGGTAGCGAGGGGAGCGAAAGCAGGGATGGGATGGCTTTCCTGTCCTTAGAAAACGTGGATCATGAGACTAGGGCAGCGCCAAAATTGCGCGAAACAAGAACAACTAGTCGAAATGTTAGCTTCCCACCTCCTTTGAGCTCGATTAGTGGCTCCAACAATGTTCGAGTGAGGCCTCACCGAGAAGGTGGACGGCTAGTCCTGGAAGCAGTAACTGTCTCTTCTTGCCACGTTCATTTACATGCAGAGAGAACCGATGGCCGGCTTCGGCTACATTTGATGAAGGACAGCTCTCCTAATAACTTCGACAATGAAGTGCAAGAAGCAGGAGCAGAATATGGTGAGGAAGTTGTTGTTCAAGATGACGGTGGTGATGATCAAAGTGGAGATGATGAAGCCGGTGGTGGTGATATTTGCGGAGAGGAGTTGGAGGGTATTAATGGAAATGCTGGGGGTGAAATGGGGATGGGGAAATTGGCTAGACCAGGCAGGTGCAAGGAAAGTGGGAGTAGCACCGAAGGCTTACTCAATTGGGAGGCATTTTGGGTGGCCACTTAGATCTCTCTTGGTTTCCCGAATGATTTGTTCACTACATATTCTACTAGCTACTACTGTTACCACCACCGTTACCGCTGCTAGCATTTAATTAACCTTCATCAGCGATTAATTACAAAGTTTTGGTATTGAACCCTTGGATCTTGTAAAACATGTTTATGGCAGTTAATATCGTTAATTATATTGGAATTAATCTTGATCCTCTGCAGTCCCCTCTCGTCACCAAGTCTCTTTCTTTACCAATGTGCTGGATGTTTCTTGGCATTACATGCCATTTCTTTCCCAAATTAGAAGAGAAGTTCAGCATGGAGCACTTGGCTAATTTATCTACTACCATAACCTGAAAAGCATAATTTTAATATATATATATTTAAATATAAAGTCATTATCATTTTCATTTCATGAAATTGATTCTAATAAATTTACTTGAAAAATTTATATTTAAAAATAAAATTATTTCAATTAAAAATATAAAAACATCTCTAATGCGAGAATCATATAAAAAACATACACAATAATCACTAAAATAAATTATCTTTAACTGTTTTTTTTTTTAACCTTCAAGAGAATAGCTAAAAGGATGCTAAAATCCATTATACTAAATTGAAGACCCATTCTTGAATGTTTTTTATTTTAGGAAAGCTATAGAGAGGAGAGAAAAACTTAACTATTTTTTTCCTTTAAACTTCCTCTCTTTCCTCATTGAATATTGTAAAATACAAAATAGCTTGTTAAAAAATAAAGAGCTAAATCATACTATTCAAGATGTCATAATGCTAATAAGGCCTTTTCAAATGGCTTTCACCATAGGAGATGCCCTAGTTATAACGATAAATTGGTTTTAATTATTGTAAAATAGATGTTCAATCTAATGTTGATGGTGGCATTTTGGTAATTCGGATGCTCCAACGGTAAACAGATTGCAAGTTGAGGTGTACGGCTAGAGTACGAATGCCTGGTATCTATCAAGAAGACTAGAGGTCCCGATAAAGAGAGAGCAACAGGCACCTGACGTCAACACATTCATGATCATCCATGTGCTCTTATTTGCTTTTCTCCAGGTGATAACATGCATGCCTTGGTGAATGTATCACCAATTTACACACTGGCTTCGTAACTTTCCTCATATTTACAGGAGTACTTTAAGATATCAGACATGCAAACAAGGACAGAATAGTCAAATTCTTAAAAGAACAGTTTAACTGGTCATGTTCTAAATTTATTTTTTAAAATTTATTAATTTAAGTTTTATAAATTTTTATTGAAAATTTATATAATTATTAATTTTATGATATATAAAATTAGTTAAGATGTATATAAATTAATTAGATATTTATACTAATAATAAAAAAATAGAATTGATGGTGGATTACTAGGGTAGGCAAAGAAGAATTGAAAGTTCTAAATGGCTGGCTGCATGGGCCAGCGGGAAAGGGTAGCATGCCCTAAAAGAGGAGGGCAGTGCTGTCCATTGTCCAATCGTGGAGTTAGGGTATCCATTCGTTAAGGTTTTTTTCATGGTGCTGCTGTGGTTAGTTCAGGGAATGGAGAATTGTCAATAAAAGAAGCACCTCCATCATAACATCATGTGCTTCAGGAACATTCTGATCTTTTGTTTAGGCACATATTCCCTCACCATCCCATGCCATGCACAAAATAGTAACAAAGATGTCCAAGGCAATGAGCATGTCTCCACTTTTTTTCGTGATCACATGAAGTATATATCCCAAAAGATGCTTGCATATAAAAATCAAATACAATTTAATTGCTCCCACCCACCAATAATTTATACGCAGCTACACTTTATAGCTAGCATCTTCACAAGTTCCCACTTTAAAATTTACTTGATAACATATTTGTGACCATTTACAATCTTTTTGAGCGTTGAAAATTGATTTTTAAATGAAATTTATTTTTTATAAATAATACAAAAGTAAATAAGATGTCAAACCATTTTATTATTTGTTGCAATAAAGAGTGGACATTACTATTTAAAAAAAACAGCTTTCTTAAAATGACCATTACTCTGATCTCTCTCTTTTATCACTCTTCTTTCTCCTATATATATATAAAAAAAAAAACATACGTATCACTACCAAAACCATCTTTTATTCTCATCTCATCTCATTTTACATCACTGTCCTCAATTTTAGGGCTTGCATAGCCTTGAAAAAATAGATCCTTGGAATTGGGTATTTGGGTTTGATTTTGGTTTTGAGGGCTGTTTGTGATGATGGTGATGGAAAAAAAATTAGAGAAAAGGGGAAGTGATGGTTGAAAGAGGTATTCAGCTCTTCGTTGTTTAAAAGAAATAAAGAATGTAAAGATTTAAAAAAAAACAAAAACAAAAGTAAGATAGAGAATAATAAAAATTGAATATTGTCATTGAACATATCACATATTAAATGAATATAAAAATATAAAGTAATACAAGGTTTAAATTTATACTTTGAATTTGAAAGAAAAAAGGCCAAGAATGAAGATAAACCATCCGAAACACAATGATTGAAATTAAAAAAAAAAGACAAACATGTAATTGAAATTAAAAAAGAAAAAGAAAAAGACAAACATACAATTATGTTGAGAAATAAAGAAAAAAAAGAAGAGAAAGAAAAAAAACATCAATTGATGATAAATCATCCATCAACCAACATCACACACCACATTATAAGAATGGGATGCAATGGTGCTTCTATGAACACCGTGAAAGACCAAGTTTAGGAAACAGGTAGCGTTCCATGCATCATCTTTTTATATATGTATATATCTTTCAACCATATTAACAAATGCTTATTTTTTATATTTTGTTGAAGTGTTTAGTTTTGTGTAATATTTTTATAGTTTGAATAGTGTTTAGTTTTGTGTAATATTTTTATATTTTGAATTTATTTAGTCAATTTTATTTATATTTATCATTTAAATTATGAGTTTTTTAAAACTGATTTATCTTTTATTTAATTAAATAAGTTAGTTTAGTAAATACAATTGGGTGGATGTCTTATTTGTGCAGTTTATTTCTTGATTAGTATCAATAACTTTTTTTATTTATATAAATAATTATTAATTTATTTAGTTAAATGATTTCATAGTTTTTCAATTTATACTTTATATATATATATATATATATATAGATAACACATTTAAACAACGTACTTACCTTGTATTTTTTTTATAGAAGAATTTATAACTCGCGGCGACAGCAGGTTAAATGGCTGGAATACACTAATAGTAGTTCACAGGCGACATTCCTAATACGCAAATCCCTCTATTTTCTCATTATTCGATCTTGCAATCTTTTTTCCACCTTTTTATATTCTGGTATTTTGTTCCAACAGCCAAACAGCAATGGAGACAGCATTATCGTTTTTATGCCACTTGCTAGCTCATGCCAGTTAACTGATTAGTCAATTATGTTTGTCTGTGCTACCCAGATGTGTGTCCATGACTCGTTTCAGCACTTCACGCGCTCCAATTGATGCCGCAATCTGGGTCGACACCACCCGTCGATCGGTGGTTTACAACGAAGCACAGTTGTTCAAATCCAATACGAAGGACGAAGAGGATAATCTCAATCCAAACCTATCACAATCAAGTTGTAAGTTGAATGGATCGTTAAACCTGATTGATTTATTCAAATTGAGTTCTTAAACTTAATTTATTTTAGATTGAGTTAATATTAAAAAAATTTATAAATAATATTATTATTTAAAAAATTTATAAATTTAGATCGGATAGATTTAACAATTCAATTATTTAAATTTATTTAAAAAATTTATAAATTTAGATCGATTTATGGATAGATTTAACAATTCAATTATTTAATTTTTTTTATATTATATCTCATGTTAAATCGGATAATCATGCCAGATCAATCCTCTAGCTAAGCAAGCAAATTAAATACAAACAATTGATAAAAAAGACATTAATGCTGATCCTGA